TTTAAATTATTCTACATAATTTATCTACTTTTTATTTTAAAATAAAAAATTCTAGGTTAATTCAAATGAAATACTTTTTTCTTTTTACATTTTCATAAGGTTTCATCACGTCTCAAAGACTACAAACAGAGAAGAGTACAGTATGTCAGTCATATTTATCATATAATCAAAAGTTATACATTTGCATATTTAAAAGAAAACAATTTTTTTCATTTTCAAAAACTAGATAAAAAATCAATAGAAATAATTTCAAATTTATTTAAGGTCTGTTCTCCTTTTCTAGAAAAATAATTTATTGTTCTTGAGATTTTTTTTTTAATATATGACTTTAAACCAAATTTGTTTCATGCCAGAACATTTTACACCTTGGTCCAATTCAACTCTGATACAAATAGGACAAAAGGTCATGACCCAGGTGTCCTTAAAACAAACTAGTGAATCTTCAGTGATGTCCAATTTGAAAACAACATATTGTATATTGACCACTGATTAATTAGCCAATACTGCTTAAAGCTAATGTACCTACATGGCAAAGTAACTGACCATTGTTCAGTATAATAATATGCATATAATATATTAAATAAACTACATGGGCCTAGTTCTCTGTATTTCAACAGTGAATGATATATAGATACTCAGTACATGCACTGTCAAAACTTGCCATTCTGAACTATGGGATCAAGAAAGAATGTTTGAGATTAAGAGTATTTCGACCATTTTGGACTTTTAAATCACTGTCATTCAAGATACCCAATTATTCGAGGTACCAAAGTTCAGTTCTACATCTGTTTATAATCTCTTTAAAAATATTTCACTGATATTGTGATGACACCATTTGCCTGGGGGACTGCAGATTTAGACCTATATTGGTAACCCAGGGACTCACCCCAAGGACTGTTCTCAATGTCCTATGGTTGGAGTATTCCGCATTCAAACCTGTGATGTAAAGATCAACTCATTACTTCGGCACAACTCTACAGCAAATGCCCCAACCACTGTACAACACAGTTACATATGTAGATAAATCATAACAAGAACATTGTCTTTTAAAAAGAAATGATAACTAAGAAATTTACACACATTTATTTACATTAAAAACACAAAAAACAAGAAATGGACAATTAAAGGTTTTAAGAAAATAAATTAACTAAACATACACAAAACCCTGGCATACCAGGGTACGTGAAAACAAAGCTTAAGGTGTGTGTACCTGATGAACAAGAATGGTTAATGACTTGCAACAAAAGCAAGTACTGATGAAACAGTGTAGATTATAACATAAAATATAGGTCAGACATTTTAATGATCATACAAGTAGCTATAATGAGGTATATACCCTATATTATAAAAGAAGGTTTAATAAATCCTCGAGATAACTTCAGTTAAAATGTAATTCCTCTGAAAAAATTCTGATTTTGAAATAACAAGAAAGAAAAAGATATTTTTCTGATAATTTGATTGCAGTTTTTGTTTTGGATCAAATCACTGTTCGTCATCTTCAAAACTTTCATTGACTCAATTTTTCATAGAAAAATAAAAAGAGAAAGCAAGAAGAAAGGCAGAATACCTAACAACAAAAAAATACTATACATTGGATAATCTCCCAAGTTATAATGACTGGAATATTTCAGCTTTGTTTGATACTGAAACTGAGCACGGAATATTCCGTATTTCTGATGATTACATTATGCTAGTAACAGGTGTGACCGGGTCGATATGGAATGCTTAGTCCTCCAAGGCACCTGATCCCACAGCTGTGATTTCCTGTGATCCTTGTTTTATGCCTTATTTACAGATTTGTATAGATTACAATTTTTGTTTTGGATCAATCACTGTTCGTCATCAACAAAACTTTCATTGACTCAATTTTTCATAGAATTTTCAGTTTGATAAAAAAAAAAAGTTTTGCCATTGAAATGAATTAAAAAGCAGAAAAAACTTCAAACAGAAATTATACTGTTCTAATTCGTTTCACTCAAACAAACATAAATTATTTACTATCATTACAAGAACACATGTCTATATAAGAATGGAAGTGCTTGCTTGCTAGCATTTAATAGACGAATACATTTACAAAACACAAGTCTTCAATAGTACCGATTCACTACCTTCCTTCTAAAATATTTCAAAAAATAATTAATATTATAGAACAGTACAAAATGCATTTAACACAATGTTTTACATGTCCTCCCTTCACTGATTTAAAACATAATATAAAGTATGTATGAACACATTATGCTTCCCTCGCCACCCAGGAAAAACCATAGATAAAAAAACAACATCGATTTATGTTGAAAAAACTATGGAAACCTGTAAGTCCGCAGCAATTGCGAGGTAAACAAAATGAATGGCGGACTCATTCTCACAAACTTGCAAGTGTCATGAATTATAATGTACAATTAATTGATTTGTTTAAGTAAAGCCTATGCAAAATAAATGTAAATTGGAACTATCTGTAAACACATTTCGACTATATGTAGCTATAATATGTACCATTACACAACAATTTTAGATTTATATAAAATTTTACATAAAATTATCTAGAGCGACAAACCAAATTTTTTCCTATCTTTGACAATTAATCTTTTGTGTACAAAACTTTTTTTTTCTTGTGATGAAAACAGTTTGATCAATCCTTTAAATAAAACTTTCTTTATTAAACAATACAAATAAGAGGGTGGAGTAAGAGGGTGGGTGGTTGGGTGGGTGTGAATGCCGGAAAGCAAAGCCTTTGAATGAGTTAAAAGCGTGATTAAATTGAATACCTGTTCTACAGGTATCTTCCTTTAAATACTGACCAATAGCTTCTGTCTCTTTTATTAGCGCATAATAAACAAAAGCACGTGTTCCTAGTACATATGAAAAATTAAATTACCCTTTCTAAATTATTTTTGTAAAAATTTAACTTTCTCGTTAAAAAAATCTGAAGAAGTGTGACATTTTCTTGTTTAAAAAAGTCAAACATTTCAATATTAAGTTGTAATAGGGTATAGAGAGAGGTTTTATAAACCCTTGACTCCTGTTACAAAAGCTTTTAATTAGTATTTTGATAAGCATAAAAATCCTCCTTGCTTTTGAACTCAATAGTTTGGGAATAACAGAAGATCTCAAATGCATTTAAACAAACAATAAATATACCTCAGCCTCATCTTCATGCAGGCACTACCTCTCTCATCTTATAACTTAAATATGCGGGCAAAATACCAACCACTTTAAAAATTCTATAGGCTTAGTAAATTTCAGGCAATTACTTAAAACCTCCCTCATTTAAAATTTCATTGTTAACACAGGTCAACACTAACAACTTTGCTCACTTTAAAATTAAATATTCGAATTCAGGCAAGAACTACGTCCCTCATTTTTTGAAACTTAAATATTCAGAAGAGCACTAAATACTTAATAATTCCTTCATTAAATACCTCCCTCATGTAAAATTTCCATACTAAATGTCAGGCAAGCACTAAATACCTCCTTCGTCTTAAAACTTACATATTCAGGCAAGTGCTATGTACCTCCCTCCTTTAAAACTTCCATTTTAAATACAGGTAAACACTGACAACCTCCTTCCTTCAAAAAATTAAATATTCAAGCAAGAACTAACTCCCGTGTTTGAAAACTTAAATATTCAGGCAAGCACTAATTAATTATCTCACTTTTAAATTTAAATACTCAGGCAAGAAATTAAATATACCTCCCTCACTTTTAAATCTAAATATTCAGACAGCCACTACATACCTCCCTAATTTTTTAAACTTAAATATTCAAACAAGCATTAAATACCTCCCTCACTTTTAAATCTAAATATTCAGGCAAGCACAAAAAACCTCCCTCTATTTATTCATGATCAAGCACTGATTTAACTAGAGGTACTGTGAGCGATGAGCTCACTAAATGATACCCCCGCCTCCATATAGTTATAATTGCAAAGTCCACGTTTTGCTGTGGCCGGGAAACCCAAAATATGTGTCGGATCAAAAAGTAAAATAGGAGGTGCACAATGGCAATATGAAATAAAGATTCTGTAAAAGTTTCATCAAATTTCATTCCGTGGTATGAGAGGAGTTGCGGATAAGAGATGGGTACCCCAAAGCGTAACAGACGGACAGACATACAGACGGAATTGACGATCACTATATACCCTCCCGCTTTTCAAGCGGGGGGTATAAAAAAAAAATTCCTTATTTTCAAGGTTCCTAATTCAGACAAACACTACCTCCCTTGTTTTTAACTTTAAAATTCAGACAAGTGCTGTTTCAAATACATCTTTTGCTTTCAACTAAATCTTTTATACTAAGACAAGTGTTGATCGGGGGAAACCTTGCTTTAAGCTTAAATAACTTATCAAAAGAATTGAAATAGTTACCTAGATTTCTTATGTATAGAAACAATCTAAGGTAATAATATGCTAAAATTAGTTTCTTTTCATCATTCAGGAAGTGACTGGTAAAAATACCTCCATTGCTTTTTAGCTTAAATGATATATCTAAAAAAAATTTTATACATGTATTAAAAAAATGGTATAAAAAAATGTTCAAAACAAAGACATACAAATAAATTTTGAATCAATCTTAAGAGTTCAACAAACTTCAAAAAGGAAATTTAAGTAAAAGGAAAAAAGTATAATTAATGAACCTCAAAACTTCTAATCTGTAAGGTCTGTTAACTTAAAAAAAATCATTAAATGCTCTCTAAAAGATACTGTCTCATTCAGATAAAACAGTAAGCCTAAGTAATCTTAAACAATTATCTAGCCAAATGAATTCTTCTATTATCCTAGATATATCTTAGAAACTGTCATGGTTATACAATACAATAATACATCAAATTCCCACAACCATCCAAAAATTATAAAGTTTCCTTCACATAGTATTCCTGGGGGTTTGTCCTGCTTCAGGCCGTATGGGAATTAAATCTTGGAAAAACATGGGTAGCAAAAAAATATCCATCTCTGGGTCACATGGAAACTTTTGGAAGAACACAAAAAGCGAAATTATCTCCTATAACCGAGACTGCTCCAAGCTCCATCAGAATTCTTTGAAACACATCCATAGGGAAAATGTCTCTGGACTCCATCCCCACAGCTCCAGTTTGAGTAGTACTAGGCAAGGCTCCAGTTATCCAACACTATAGAAATACAATGAATCCCGTAATTTTTTTTACTATATGATACTTTGTGTATAATTTAAGTACAAGTTTTTAGGGTATATATAATGATAATGATAGAAACATCCTCATTTTACCTACAAGAATGTTTTTAGACTAGAAAAATTCAAATAATTTTTTTTTTTTAATAAACATGACAATTGTAATTCAAATACAAAGCAAATAAATTCATTTAGCTAATGTTAAAGATAGATTGAGACAGAAACAACACTTTTTGACAAAATAAGGATCATTAATACTTAATAAACCAATTACCTGGTAGTCTGGTAGTTTAAGATCAAACATGATGAATGTTGGGTTTATGTATATTTTTCTGCTTGTGAATGGCACCAAATAGGCTCACAGTAATTGTTGACTCAGTGACAGACAGTAATTGTTGACTCAGTGACAGACCACTTTCACCTAAAGCCTGAAATGATAAAAAGGAACCTGGAGAAAACTTAAGAATCATAAATCAAATGTTTTTTTTTTCAAAAAAAAAAATCATATATGATCTACAGTATATCAAAGGTCAATTTTAAATTAGTTTAAATCTCTCACTGTGACATAAGCAAATTTCAGGTTTACGAGGATCAGAGATTTTGCCAGATTCCCAAGGGAGGGTACAAGATGGCATTTAGGTCTTAAAAAAGGAAATAAATCAATTTTTAAAATACCATATATACTTGCCTATAAGTCGGTATTTTGGGAGTTAAATTTTGGTCCAAAATTCTATGTCTGACTTATAGGCGAGTCATAAGGAGGCTTTTTTCTGGACTGTGAAATGTAGCATTTTATATATATTTCTGACAACTATTGAAGAATACAGTCTGGATTACATAATATACATTCAAGGATGATACATAAATTACAAATATTTACTTACTCTACTGGTTTATTTTTATCTCAAGCATGCATTGCTTATTTGTTAAATGATTTAAAATTAAATATTGGCATCATTTCGAGAAATAATTAAATAATTAAATACAATAATTTAGTTAAAATCAAGTTAAAAAATCACTGCATTGATTTAAAATTCTTAGCCGATTCTGGCAAAAAGTTTCGACGACTTATAAGTGGGTCAATGGCAAATCAATTTAAACTTCCTCAAAAAATACAACCGACTTATAGCGGATCGACTTATAAGCGAGTATATACGGTAATGTTTTTTCTTACCTGTCTGATGAACACAACAAAGGTTACAAAGGTGATTGGTAGAATACAGGTATACAGGTGTCAAAACTCTCCATTGATGACTAGACTGCATGCCGCATTGTACGTTGTGAATGATTGATCTTTTACAGGGGAAACTACTCCTGAAATCAGAGAAATTGTCAAAATGAGAGTTATCTGCTCCTCTGCAGTTCACATACAAGGAAATAATTTCACTATATATAACATGTACTATACAGCTTGAATTAAATGAATTAATTAAATAGACCCTGAAAATAATTACCTGGTAATGAGAGAGAAAATAAAGATTAATGCTTAAACAAAAATTTAAGCTAAGACCAGAAGTCTCTGTCGAGACTGTAGCTCTACTGGTTTGTACTTATAACGAAGGATGAGAAAAGAAGCCATTGCCATCAGACTAAAACTGTAGAAGGAATACCGTTTTAAAGAAATTTCACAGACATTTCTATTTTTAGTAACCATGGCATCAATGTTCATCAAAATCAAAAACGGATGCACTGTTTCATGTATCTTAGTGAAGTCTACTTGTGTGCCTAGTAATTTTGAAATAATACCAAAACTGTAGAAGGAGAAGCATTTTAAAGGAATTTCACAGAAAATTCTATTTTTAGTAACCATGGCAACACAGTTCATCAAAATCAAAAACCGATGCACTATTCTATGTATCTTAGTGAAGTCTACTTGTGTGCCAAGTTATATTGAAATCAGATCAAAACTGTAGAAGCTTTGACCATTCTGTTCTTTACCAGATTTCCCCCTTGTAATACATAATGCATCCCCACCCTAGCCCACTGATCATAATTAAGACATTTTGAAATTTACACTACCCCAGGATCCTTCCATGTTCAAATAAGTTTCAGCTTTTCTGGCCCAGTGGTTCTTGAGAAGAAGATTTTTCAAAGATTTTTCCTATAAATTTCTATGTCAAACTTTGATTACCAATTGTGGACTCGTCCTTCCCCCAGGGGTCATGATTTTTACAATTTACAATCTACTCTACCCCAGGATGCTTCCACATAAGTTTCAGCTTTTCTGGCCCAGTGGTTCTGGAGAAGATTTTCAAAGATTCTATGTAAAATTTTGATTACCAATTTTGGCCCCTCCTTTCCCCCAGGGGTCATGATTTTTACAATTTGGAATCTACACTACAATAGAAAGCTACCACATCAGTTTCAGCTTTTCTGGCCCAGTGGTTCTTGAGAAGAAGATTTTCAAAGATTTTTCCTATATATTTTTATGTAAAACTTTGATTCCCTATTGTTAGTTTGTTACCACGCCCTACCCCCGGGGGTCATGATTTTTACAATTTAGAATCTACACTACCCCAGGAGGCTTCCACATAAGTTTCAGCTTTTCTGGTTTTTGAGAAGAAGATTTTCAAAGATTTTTCCTATATATTTCTATGTAAAATTTTGATTCCCCATTGTGGCCCCGCCCTTCCCCAGGGGTCATGATTTCAACAATTTAGAATCTACACTTTACCAGGATGCTTCCACATAAGTTTCAGTTTTTCTGGCCCAGTGGTTCTTGAGAAGAAGATTTTCAAAGATTTTTCCAATACATTTCAATGTTAAACTTTGATTCCCCATTGTGACCCTAGCTTTCCCCCAGGGGTCATGATTTGAACAATTTAGAATCTACACTATACTAGGATGCTTCCACATACATTTCAGTTTTTCTGACCCAGTGGTTCTTGAGAAGAAGATTTCTTAATGACCCCACCCTATTTTTGTCTTTTCTTGATTATCTCCCCTTGTGAGGGGACTTGGCCCTTTATTTTAAGAATTTAAATTCCCCTTCACCCAAGAATGCTTTGTACCAAGTTTGCCAAAATTTGTTCAGTGGTTCTTGAGAAGAAGTCGAAAATGTGAAGTTTACAGATGGACAGACAGATGGACAGCAGACGGCCAAAGACAGACAGACGGATGACAGACAAAATGTAATCTGAAAAGCTCACTTGAGCTGGAATTTATACAAAGTACTTCACCAAGAAAAGACTGCTAAATTGTGGAACAATGCATTAAGAACACTCACATAAGTTTCCAGACTGTGATGGTCTACTCAACTGAAATCAGCATGGGGAGGAAAAACGAGGCCTGGCATGGATCCTTTCCATCAGATGTAAGAAGTGCCACTATACTAGTCTCTGAGAAAAGCTTTATAAAGAGGTGAGGAGATCTGGCAGGGGATGAAGAGCTACACAGCTGAATAAGGCCATGGCTGTCGGTCGCTTGTGTACCAGTCTTACAACAGAGGGTATGCCTGGCATGCTTCTTGATGCAAATATTGAACCAGCATCAGCCACAAACATGCAACAGACCTACAACAAAGTGGGTAAAATTATCGCCAATGTAATATGAAGAAAATATAAGGCAAAACCTTCAAGAATTCAATGAAAAATGTGGACTACTTGATATCCTCCCCCATCAGAGCGTAAGGATATGCTTGGTACATTAATGCCACCTTCAGTGCCTTTGGATAAACCCAATTTCAAGCTGCATTGTGACTTCAAGTGACTTGTACCATACGTGAAAATGTAACTCATAGGAAAAATGTTGTGGAAGTGTTCTGTGGGAATACACTATGCAAGAAAGGCACACACCTATAAAGCAAAGGAGAGAAAGTTGCCTGCCCAGGACACGTAGACTGTACTGCAACCATTCCTCCGGAAACCACCATTGGAGATGAGAAGAGATGGGCCGCTTATTGTGTTGTTGATGACCGTCCACTAGTCATACACTGTATCCCATTTCACAGACAGTGCCACTGCATATGAAAAACAAGGACACATCATTGAAAACCTTAAAGACTTGCTAAGGCTCCACTTAGCAGTCACACTTTCTGGGGAGAACCAAAGCCATAAGAGAATCCATGCAGGGAAGATTTGCCTCGGACCTGAAGCTTCGATGCAGGACAGAGTACAAGAACTGCTACAAACACTGCTCTGGAGACTTACCTTTGATGAAGCTGGCTATTTCTACTGTGGTTGGTTCCTTCATAAGCTGGTACCAGGGACAGTGTAGAAATAAGTCCTGTCAACTTTATTCCTTTTACAGTCGTGGACTGAAAAGCAATAAGTAGATATCTTCAGTGTTGCCTAGTGACTTTGAATTAAACATTACAGAAGAAGACAAATTTTGTTTAATTTAAAGACTGCACAAATTTGATTTTTGAACCAATTTAGTAATCTTAATAGAATTAAATATCATACTTGTACACAAAAATCTGAATCTGAATCATATTTAAAAAAATCAAATCCAAAATGTATTACAAGTAGTAGAAATTTGAAAGTAGAATACTGTAAACCAACTTTTATTTGCGACGACTTTATTTCGTAATTTAGCAGGGGTAAACTAGTTTGCAACGATTAATTTTTGCAATCAAGCCTTTTTGAATCTGTTATTCATATTAAACACATAACACCTTAAATATTGGCGATGACAAGGCTCTCGCAAACTTCGCGAAAATTTCTCGCATACGAATAATAGTTGGGTTTCAGTATACATGTACATAAAGTTGTGCACTCACTGAAAAGTCATGGAAACTCAACACTGTAACTTCGAGAATCTGAAGGGGCACCTGTTGTATAAAGATGTAGAGTGGTCTATCATCTGAAACAACAAAATTGGCAAAATTGCTTAAGAATAAAACAAAAACTGTTAACATTTAAAGCTCAAAGAAAGTAAATTAGATCTAAGATATCAGCTGTACAATAAAAAAATTCTAAAACCAGTGTTGCATTAGACTGTGAAAGGGAGGGGGGGGATATTGATGCTGTGAATATTTTCACATATTTTGTGAATTGTATAACTGTACAGAATAATAAATACTGTTCCTATGTTTTATTATGCACAGATTCTTTTCAACTGTGTAAATAGAGAAAACGTGGACATGTAAATAATGTATCATTGTATGTGTAAACTAGCAACGAGCTCACTAAATGCCTCCCATATGATTATAATGACAAAGTCCCTGTGTTGTACTTGCAATTGTGACCAGAAATAAGTGTCAGATCAAAAAGTAAAATAGAAGGTTCACATTGGCATTATGTGATAAAGAATCCGAGAAAATATCATTAAATTTTACTCAGTGGTATAGGATGAGTTGCAGATAAAAGATGGGTACCCTTCAATATTTTAGAGAAAATTGCAGTGTCAATGCTGTGCTCTGAAAAACCCAAAATACTTGTCCGATCAAAAAGTGGAGTGGGTCACAATGGCACTCACTAATAACAAAGATTCTGTGGGAGTCTCATTCAATTTCATTCAGTGGTAAAAGAGGAGTAGAGGAAAAAAGATAGGTATCCCAAAGCATAACAGACAGACATCCCGATTGCTATATATCCTCCGGGCCCACTTTTCAAGTGGGGGGTATTATAATGTATCACTCTATCTGTAAAATGTGACATTTTCTTATACAAGAGAGTCTGAACATCTAACAAGAGGCCCACGGGCCTTATAGGTCACCTGAGTATCATGTAACAACTTTCCAGCAATTGTATTTGGTTCGTGTTTTAATCCAAAAGCCATGAAATTCACAAATTTGAAGGAGGCACCATTGCTTATCAAAGGGCAGATTTCAAAGCATTAATTTATTTTTAGTCAAAGTACCCCCCTGGTACCCGTGACCCAGCGGCCCTGAAATTATCTATTTTGAAAGAGGCCCCTGTCTTCATTATAAGGCCAGCATTTTTTTATGTTTAGGTTTAGTTATGAACGTGAGAATAAAAAATTCCCGAAGGAGAAGGAAATAAAAAAAATTTTTTGATATATCAATTATTAACATTTGTACATTCTTTTTTATGCTATTCAAATAGGCTCCTTACCACTGGACACATAATGCTTTAAAACAAATAGGAAAGTAGAACATTTAATTGCTTATTTCATCATCATGATCATCTGCCAGTTTGGGCCAGTTATACAAATTTTGTGATGTTGGTCAAAATATATTTTCAAAAATCAATTCTTTAAAAGTCTTTCAATATATCTTCATTTTTTTAATAAGTGAATGTGTAGACATTGTTCTAAAATTTACTTGATGCCTAAAATTATAATTCCT